GGGTGGGAGTGTGAGTGTGAGACTGTGAGTGTGAGACTGTGAGTGAGAGTGTGAGACTGTGAGTGAGAGTGTGAGACTGAGTGTGAGACTGAGTGTGAGACTGAGTGTGAGTGTGAGTGCGAGTGCGAGTGCGAGAGAGAGTGCGAGAGTGCGAGTGCGAGAGTGCGAGTGCGAGAGAGAGAGTGCGAGAGTGCGAGTGCGAGAGAGAGAGTGCGAGTGCGAGAGCGAGCGAGTGTGAGAGAGCGAGCGAGAGAGAGAGAGAGAGCGAGCGAGAGAGAGAGAGAGCGAGCGAGTGAGTGAGAGAGAGTGTGTGTGTGTGTGACTGTGAGAGAGAGAGTGCGAGTGAGTGTGAGAGAGTGTGTGTGTGACTGTGAGAGTGTGACTGTGAGTGAGAGTGAGTGTGAGTGTGTGTGTGTGTGAGTGTGTGAGTGAGTGTGTGTGTGTTGAGCCGTCTGCTGTTTATAGCACAGACCCTTTTTCTGTCAGTAAACATTGCGAGGTTTTTCTGTGGAGGAAGAAAGATTCCCAACCGCTTCACTAATTCTAGCTATGAAGTTTGTTAGCTTGTTTTTTTAACAATGACTGGAGAAAATCCAATTTGACCTGCACATGTAAGGTCACTCTCTGTCCGGGACCACGATTGTTATTTGAAAAGATTAACTTTATAACGGACGAAACCAGATTGGCCGACCAACACGCTCACGATCTGACAGGATTAGCTCGAGTGTCGAGTAAAGAGAAACTCACCCGTGTCTGTCTATCATGAAGATTTCAGTTTCAGCACGCGACTATTTTACAGCTACATGAGTGAACTGGGCCAAAATACAAAACAAGTTAAACATTTAATGTGATGGATATATTATTTGAAGATGAATGTATCATGTAACCAGTGTTGGGTGTGACTAGTTACTAAGTAATTGGTTACTGTAATTTAATTACTTTTCCCTTGAAAAAGTAAAGTAAGGGATTACTCTTATTTTATCTGTAATTTAATTACAGTTACTTCTTATGTAATTGAACTTAATGCTGTGTATAGACTGTAGAACAATACAATAGTGGATTTACCATTAAAATGTAAAGTCTAACCTTAAAATGCATGCTTTTTATGTACCCTTCTCACTTTAAATATATTTTAAGTTAGGTTTCTCATATTTTAAGCTCCTTATTTGGCCGAATCTGTGCTGGTTTGAATCGGCCGCCTCCAGTTTTCTCTTTGTTTTGCCTCCAGCTAGCGCTGTGACGTAATTGTGATGTTGGCCCAAGAAGGGTCTGTAACAAGTTCCTTCTCTTCCTCGATGCTTTCTCAGAAAATGGGCATCAGTTTCACTACGAGCAACAAAGAAGCGGCACACAAGAGCGACGTTCTGTTCCTGGCCGTCAAACCGCACATCATCCCGTTCGTTCTGGATGAAATCGGTCCAGATATCGAGGACCGTCATCTGATCGTCTCCTGCGCCGCTGGAGTCACTATCAGCTCCATTGAGAAGGTGAGAAACACGATTGCTTTACTAATGCACTGAGTGCTGTTGATGACGCTATTAACAACTCGTTTAGTTCTCTACACACCTGTGGGTTTAAAGGAATAGTTCATGCAAAAATAAACATTAGTTACTGCATCAGTGTCTCAGCAATGGATGCTCTGCAGTGAATGGGTGCCGTCAGAATGAGAGTCCAAACAGCTGATAAAAACATCACAATAATCCACAGCACTCCAGTCCATCAGTTAACATCTAGAGAAGACAAAAGCTGAAGTTTTTAACTATGAGTCCATAATCCATAATAACGCTTCCTCCAGAGAAAAAGTGCATCTGCTGTTGTCTCTCACATCAACATCCAGCCACATATTAGTTTAGAGCTGTTTAAACGCTGCTTGATCTGTGCAGATTTCTCTCCTGATTCACACCAGAACACTGACTCACTGGAGGAAGAGTTATTATGGATTATAGACTCATATAAAAATTTCTTAATGCTGGATGTGTTTCAGCTTTTGTCTTCTCCAGATGTTAACTGATGGACTGGAGTGCTGTGGATTATTGTGATGTTTTTATCAGCTTTTGGGACTCTCATTCTGACGGCACCCATTCACTGCAGAGCATCCATTGCTGAGACACTGATGCAGTGCTACATTTCTTGTAACCTCGCATAACACGCATTCCATCTCATTAATTATGCTGAAGCTCGTCTCTCCCTCAGGTTATGCATTTTTCTCTTTTATCAAACACATCAGCGTTTTTTCCTCTGTATTGTTGGACGAAGCTATGAATCCCGAAGGAAACTATTATATGCTGTGATTTTCTATCAGTCGGTGTGTATTGACCGCTGCTCGTTCAGCTTCTGTTCTCTGCACTCTCTGTTTTGATCGTCTCTCTTATTTTCTCCGTCTGACTAAATGCAGTTTCTTCATCACCATGATTGTTTTGCATGGAGTTCTGAAGCTCAACAGCAGGGTTCTGGAAGTAGAAATCACATTTGTTTGTTTCCATAGAGGTTTTTAACTGTAAAGAAGGAAACTATCAAGACCGGCATGTCATGAGCTCTGAGGTTGTAAAGTATTGTTCTGTTTGTTTGCATTTTTATATTTTTTTTATATTTACTTTTTAATAGTTTATTTTTGTATTTCATGTTTTCACTTTAAAATTAGTTAAAATTATAGTTACTAATAAATTTTAAATTAAATACTTCCCTTTTTTCTAACTTTTTTTTTTTAAGGTTATTTTTGTACCTAAACTCAGTTTATTTCAGCTAGTTGTGAAGGCAGCATTTCTCATGCAGTGTTTTAAGATCATTGAGATGCTATTTTAGTTTTGATTAATATTCTGAATTGTTTTTTTTTTTATATGTTTTCGGCTTTCATAACTTAAAGGGTTAATTCACCCAGAAATGAAAATTAGGCTGCGTTAAACTCACCCCCGAGGCATCCTAGGTGTATATGACTTTCTTCTTTCAGACGAATCCAGTCAGAGTTATATAAAAAATTGTCTTTGATCTTTCAAGCTGTTTAATGGCACTCAGCGGGTGTTGCATGCATCAGTCCAAAAGCAGTTAAATAAAAAGCGCCCATCCATAATAAAAAGTGTCTCACACGGCTCCGGGGGGTGAACAAAGGCCTCCTGTAGCGAATCCATGCGTTTTTGTAAGAAAAATATCCATATTCAAAACGTAATAATCACTTTAATGTAGCTTGCGCCAGCAGTTGTACACAGAAGCAGCTCCGGGAGCATGACGTATGAGGTCAGCGCTGCGCATGCGCCGCTCAGAAGTGATGAACGCGGAAACGCAGCGGAGAGATCAAAACAAAACAACGGTCACTAATTAGAAGCACAAAATGAGGATTTGTAAAGAAGAATGTCGGAGGATTTGGATATAAGCCAAGAGGAGACTGGTTTTCCTTTGCTAAAGTAAGGAAACTTTGCTTCTTTTGCTCCTGTGGGGACATAATTACTGATTATAATGACTTATACTGTCTTTTTACACGTTGCGTTGCATCGCGCCGCGTAAACCTAAAACCATGTCTGCATTTGTGATCGGAGAAATGACAAACAACAAGCGCTACTCTACACTGCCTAAAACTCACGTTTGAATCATCAGTGGCAAATTCTTTAAATTCAGACTCTGAGTCAGAACAGCCGGCATTGTAGTCTACTCTCCCAGGATCAGGAAACAGTCCTCCATAAAGTGTGCTGCACACATCTGAATATTTGGGTTGAAGTGTTCTGGAACAGTGTTGTAAATACAACTTAACCACTGATTTCTAGTCGTGTCCTCTTTTGGAAGAACAAACAAAGTAGCTTCGCTTTCACAACGAAACACACAGCGTCTTCACGACATGACGGCGGCGGCAACAATACTACAGCGAGAATAAAAGTTACACCTTCTTTCTTTACGTGAACATTTGGGCAGTGTAATGCAAATCTTCCCACATAGTGATGTAGACGTGGGGGCGTGTTAGAACGAGCCGTTTTAGGTAGATGTGGCTGACTCTGAACTTTTATAAAGAATATCTCTTTGGATTTGAGACTTTAGTCTTTGCAACTTTACAGATCTTCTTTATGCACCAAGAGCTTGTTACACCTAGGATGCCTCGGGGGTGAGTAAAACACAACCTAATTTTCATTTTTGGGTGAACTAACCCTTTAAGTGAACATTTTAGTAATTTTGTTGTTTTTTGTCATTTGTATTAATCCATAGTTTTTTTTGTTTTTAAATAGTCATGAATGCAGATGAATAATCACACGTCTGTGTGTGTGTGTGTGTGCAGAAGCTGCTCCAGTACCGAGCGGCTCCTAAAGTGATGCGCTGCATGACGAACACGCCGGTGGTGGTGCGCGAGGGAGCGACGGTTTACGCCACAGGAACTCATGCCGAGGTGGAGGACGGGAAGCTCCTGGAGCAGCTGATGGCCAGCGTGGGCTTCTGCACCGAAGTGGAGGAGGATCTGATCGACGCCGTGACGGGCCTCAGCGGCAGCGGACCTGCTTACGTGAGCGTTTATCCCAGAAACCACTGCAACTACATACTGCACTGATTTGAATGTAGATCAACTACAGCTCAAAAGAGTGGAATAAATCAAATGTTTAGAAGGAAGTCTCTTCTGCTCACCAAGGCTGCATTTATTTGATCAAAAATTTAAAAAATTGTGAAATATTAGTAATGCACAACTGTGTTCAACATTGATAATAATCAGAAATGTTTCTCGAGCAGCAGATCAGCATATTATACTGATTTCTGAAGATCATGTGACACTGAAGACTGGAGGAATGATGCTGAAAATACAGCTGCACATCACAGAAATACATTACAGTTTAACACATATTCACATAGAAAACAGCTGTTTTACATTACAATAATATTTCACTATTTTTAACATATTTTTGATCAAATAAATGCGGCCTTGGTGAGCAGAAGAGACATAAACATGACATCTTAATTCCAAAGTTTTGACTGGTAGTTTAACATTTAATGGATGTATTTTAAAAATATTATTAATCCTAATCAGTATTCATCTTAAATGTCTGTTAAAAAGTTTTTTTTCCAATATGAAAGTAGCCCTGCTCCAGACATGGTGTTTAAAATAAACCAACAATAACTGTGTGTCTAGAGATGATGTAAAGCACATGTGTTTGTCAGGCGTTCACGGCTCTTGATGCTCTGGCTGACGGCGGGGTGAAGATGGGGTTGCCACGGCGACTGGCGGTCAGGCTGGGAGCTCAAGCTTTATTGGTACTTCACGTCACATGACTCCGGCTCTCATGCAGTGCATGATGCAAACATTACACACATTCTTAAACTTCTTATTGTAACATAAAAGGTGTTTAAAGTAGTGTTTTGGGTCATTCTGCTTCGGCACAGTATCTCAAACGAACTCGAACCGAAAGCACAATATGCTTCATCTCTTCATCAAGTCTGTTTCAAAGTGAAGCACACACTTGGTTCAGACGATCGGCTCGTGATCCGGTGTTTTCTGCGTCTCAGAGCGACTCGTTCACACTGAATGAATGCGGTCCACTCCTTTATTTCACCTGCTGTGAGTTTAGCGCGCGTTTGGGAACGCAGCAGACACCAGTTATGCTTTATTTTCACGGCAGATGATGACAGCGTTTCTCTAGATTTGTAGCGAGACGTGTTTTTGTAATCCTGTTTTCACTGAAGCTGGAGTTTCCTTCTAAATAAAAGCTTAAAGTGCAGCATGAATCGCTGACAGCTAGCGGTTTAAACGCAGGCCAGATTCACAAGATCTCTCTCAAGTGTAGAAAGTAGGAAAGAAGTATTGTTATTTCTCTACTGTAGTGTAAAGCTCAAATAATATACCTATGAGACATTCATTTGCATTTATTTTACAGTGCAATTGTTTCACAATATATGGCTATTACTGTTATTATAATAATTAGTTTATCTTCCTAAAACAGCAGTGTGAGTGTAATTTAGACTGAGACAGTAGATCACAAATAAAAAG